CCCAGTCCCATTAGCACCACAGAATCACAGAATTTTAGGGGTTGGAAGGGATCTCGAAAGATCATCTAGTCCAACTCCCCTGCCAGAGCAGGGTCACCTAGAGCACATCACACAGGAACGCATCCAGGTGGGTTTTGAATGTCTCCAGCGAAGGAGACTCCACAATCTCTCTGGGCAGCCTGTTCCAGTGCTCTGTCACTCTCACAGTAAAGAAGTTTTTTCTGATATTTACGCGATGTTTACTATGGCCCAGAGACTGCAGAGCCCTCATGTCACCCTCTCCTCCACCACAGACAGACCCATGCCAGCCCTCAGCACCACCCTCAGGACCTGGAGCCCATCTCATTGGCAGAGATGGGTCCCTGCACAGGGGCTGAGGGAGCAGGGGTGCCCCATTTAGCTGGGTCCTCAGGTACCTTCTCCAGCGGGGGTGTGAGGTCCACCAGGGCTGTGGCCACATCGACCTGGCTGGCTCTGCCGTTGCGGCGGCCGCCTGCCCTCCCGCTGTGCCCCTTGCTGGGCTCCACGCTCCCCGTGACTCTGGCATTCAGCTCCTCTTCAGTGTGAGCCCCTTTGAGGTACACTGCCCGCTTGGCACTGGGGCCACTCTGTGTCCCTGGGCTGGCTGGGCTTTTCCCTCCCAGGGCCTCGCTTCTTCCCGGGGCACGCTTGGGGTTGGAGGGCTCCTGCCGGGACCTCGGAGGCTCTGCACCTTCAGCCCTTGGCTCTTCGGGGGCCAGCTCTGCAGAAGCAGCCTTCTCCTTCCCATTCTCCCAGCACGTGGCCCCTTTGCCCAGTTCTTTGGATCCATCTTTCCTTCTCTTCTGTGAAAAGCAGAGCACCACAGTGGGAAGGTATCCAGACAGCAGCTTCTCTTTGTCAGCCTCTTTCCCTCACTACCCCCTTTCCCACAGTCCACCAGGTCTCTGCTCCAGAACCCAGAGGCTACGTTTAGGCAGGAACAGGAGTACAATCACAGCTCCCTCCCAGATAAGCAGCTGCCTCACTGCCCTCACCCAGCACATCGATGCAGGATGAGCTCCACATTGCTCTTTGGACAAGGGCAACTCAAGAGCAGGGAGTGAAACCCTCAGCCCAGCACCCCCAGGCTCCATAAGCTCCCCCAGAAGGCAGATCCTCTGCTCCTCACCAGAAGCGAAGACCAGGTATGGAGTGGGATCTTCTTCTGAAGCACCAGGTGTAGAAAGTTGCCCTTCTTGTACTGGATCTTGCTACAGGAGCCTTCAATCTCCTCGTAGAACTGACAGCTCCACTGGCGCCCGTCTGCAAGCAGAGGGGGACTGCACCTCAGGCAGGGCTCCAGGCAGCCCACACCCAGCCCACTGCCTGCTTCACCTGCCCCAAGAATCAAGGGAGCGCTCATCCAGAGCCAAGGAGGCTGCAGGCAGCCTGCCACCACAGCCCAGGAGACTTCAGGGTAATGCCAGCTTTCCTGGGTTTGCTTTGTACATCTGTCTGGCCCTCTTCCCAGAGGGAAGGCCTTGGACCTCCCTGCCCTCAGAGGCACCGTCACTTTTCCAAGGGATACCCAGGGCCGACTCAGTCATCCCTGCAACCAGAGGACAGAGACGCGCCAGTGGGCACTTGTTCACTTGGCGCTGAGGCCAGGTCCTGCCCTCCCCAGCTCTACACCCTTCTTCTTTTACACTGCTGCTGTGCCAGCTAACGGCAGGGCACTGCCTCTGAAGGGAAGATTTTATGCCTGCTTGGGTCAGCCCCATGTCCAGCCCGGAGCTGCACCAAGCTCCACTAGAAAAACATTTGCAGCAGTCTCTCCGCTCCCCATACCTGGTAGTTTGACCACGCAGTCCCTGTCACTGAAAGCAGCATCCACATCCTCTACCTTCAGAGCTCCACTGCCCAAGTTCAGCTTGACGATGATCTCGTCAGCATTCTGCTTCCAGTCCAGCAGCAGCTCTAGGAAGAGGGAGGGAAGTGTCACCCAACTGCTGGGGCATGAGCCTGTAGTGCCCACTCCTTGGCTGGGGAACGTGAACCTAAGCACACGCTTGGTTCAAGGAGGTCAATGCAGGGTACAGAGACCGTGGCATTTAAACAGGACACTGGCAACCTGCTCTCATCAGACAGGCCACAAACAAGAGCACATGTTGCATCAGGGCAGGTGAATCCCAGTGGGAACCAGAGAGATCAGAAAGGCGGCACTGCTCTTGGCTCTGTCACGCGCAGCAGTTGGGAAGAAGGGGTGGCACCTGCCGACTACGAAGCAATTGCTGCTTTCCCAGTGAACAGGCAAGCCACAGAATTACTCTGGGGGATTCAAGTGGACTCTGACCACAACCAGAAATTGCCACTTCCTCTTTGCATATGCAAACAAACAGCTCAGCTGCAATCACCGAAGCACTGCACTCCTCCAGGTGAGCTCTGCTAACGCAGCTCAAGGAGGGGCAGGGCCCAGCCAGGCCAGAATGCCACACCCACAGAGAAAACGGTGAAGCAGGTGCCTGCCAGGCTCCACCTCTGGCCCCACAAAGTCCTCAAGTCTTCAAGGCAAAAAGGTGGTTTCAATCACCTTAACTTCAAGCAGGTTCATTCCACCTTCTGTGGCACAAGAATGTCCTATTCTATCCTCAAAGAAGGTCTGAACCAACACAGAAACAGCCAACACCCACCAGGTGACATGGCTTGGGACCTTCCCAGCCCAGCATGGCTCTTTGCTTAGAAACGAGCAGGACAGATGCTGGCAGCAAAGTGTCTCAGGGCTGTGCTCAGTGGCATGGTGACACCCGAGCTGGCAGCAGCCTGCCATGTGCCCAGGGCCTCTTCCGTGCAGCCAGCCATTCCCAGGCACATGTGCTCTGCCTCAACCCTGGGAAGGCCACATCCCGCCTGGACAAACGCTGAGGCAAGGGAGCACTCAGGTTAGTTCTGCTCAACGCTGCAGCACAGGACAAGGACAAGGTGAGAGCTCCAGATTCCTCAGCAAGGACACTCCATGGCCATGCACTGACAGCCGGCACACACCTCGACTTACCCTCCTCAGAGTCTTTCTCCTGGGCAGTCTCAGCCTGCTCGAGCTCGGGGCGAGACACTGGTGGGCAGAGAAGCAGAGCACCGGCAGGTCTGTCATTCTGTCACCTCACAGCCTGGGCCAGCATGACAACATCTGACATTTCACACAACACCTCCTTCTCCCCTGCACCTCTGTCCAGGCCTTTCATCCTGCATGTGCTGCCCATTTCTGACCCCTGCTTCCTTATACCTCTCCCTCCTCTCAAGTCCTGCCTGCAGCACCACAGCAGGTCAGCCCCCAGGGCTGCTCTGGGCCACACCACCATATCCCAGTTTAGCCAGCACCACAGTGGGAGCAACACAACAATGGTGCTTTGAGGCACATCTCAGCATGGAGCTTGTGGTAGTAAGGTTGTGCCCCTGCTCAGCACACCAGGCCTTCAGCCTCCAGCCATAGAGAGGTGTCCTGCCTTGATCTGACAGGGAGAACCTGACATTTGGTTGTGCTCAAACCAATTCTGCTGTAATGAGAGAACCACGTGGCCCAGCTGCACTTTAACATTCACATTCCTGCACAAGCTGCCAATGTCCACAGCGAAAACCTCCATCCAGATCAGGCTGGGGAACCAAACCGACCTGACACCTAATCCCTGCTCCCTGCAAGATTACCTCCAACAGCCACAAGAGTCTTGGGGCCTGCTCCACCCCCACAGGGCGGTGAGCTCTGCCAGGCAAGGGGTCCAGAGCAACAGCACCTTGTCCTCGAGCAGAGCTGCAGTGGCACTATGAGTTGTGCTCTTCACCCCAGACCACCCAGAGGGCTGTCACTGCCTCTCTTGACCAGCTACAAACCAGGAGCACACCTCTGCTGACAAACACAGTCACTGGTGCAAAGGGGCTGGTAGGGCTGGCAGTGTGAGAAGCACTTGTCTACAACTTGCTGCAGCCCCTCGCCATCTTTGTGCAGAGGAGACAGAGGCAGCACAGCCACCCCACAGCCCCTGGGAGGGCAGGAGCCCCATGCCAGGCCTTGCCAGAGACACAGCTCACCTCCCAGCACGGAGAAGCCGCAGCGCTGCACTCTGCACCACGGGGTTTGCATGGGAGACTGTGGCAGCTGCTCCAGCACAGACCTCAGCCACTGCCTGTGTACCTTGGCCTATACAACAACCTGTGATTTTGAGGTGAGAGCAATCATACATTGTTTGAGGCACAGAAATCAAGCCATTTTCCAAGGCCTAAGGGCTGCTAGAAGAACCCTTGCCTGCATCCTGCCAACAAGCGCTCCTGCCCAGTACCAGAGCCTGCACCTGAAGCACCATTTTCATCATCAGATTCACAGCAGGTAGGGAAGGAATTACTCCACAACAACTACTCTGCTTGAGCCACACCTTGCCCTTACAAAGAGAAAGCACCAGCCCCACCCACAGGCCGGTGCTCAAGGGTCACTGCCTCTCAGCATCTGGCCTCTGCAAACCGATGGGGAAGCAGCACTGCCTCCAGCTGCAGGAGGCTTCATTCCCCACCCTTTCTGGATCAGGGCGGCTCAGTCTCTGCCAAAAGCAGAGACTAGTAACAACCCCCAAGGTCAACTCCAAGCTTAAGCTAACAGGGCCACAGGCCCGACCTTCCTCACATAACTGGGGCTAAGAAGTGCCTGAAGGAAGAAAGGTTACAGGTCCAGGGAGGACATGTGCTGAAGAGGATCCCACATCACACGGGTTACCATCAGCTGCAGGAAGCGATTAGTTAAATCTGCTTATCCTGCAGCAGATGGCTGCAAGACTCCCACCCCTGTGGGAAACCACAGGCCTGCTCGCTGCAGCCTTGCTGAGGGGCTCTCACCTTCCTTGCTCTCCTGGTTGGCTCGATCCTTCTGCTTCTTCTTGTTGGTGGCATCATCCAAGCCCCGAGACACTCTCCTCTGCCCAGGGGCATTGGTACTGCTGGACATTTTCAGCCGTTTGGAGGACACAAACGGCCCGCCGGGGTCGGTGATGGAGTCTGGGTCAGGGGTGCGACGTTTTCTTCCTGGCCCAGCTATCTTGGCGACTCTCTGTGGTCAAACTCTCCGGCAAGGAACTAGTGGCCTAAAGAGAGGAGAGAGTGATTGTGGCAAGAGGAGTGGGTAGAGAAGGCCCAACAGCATCAGAATCTGCTCTCTGCCCCAGCGCCAGGCCCTTCCAGGGCCAGTGCCCTCACGTGACCTTTGCTGCGGCGGTTGCGGAAAGCCCCACACCGCGCTCGGTGAGGAAACCTACCTCATCACAGCTGTCACAACACTTACTGCCAAAAGCATGGCCTTGTCAGAGCTCCCAAGATACACCCGGAGGTCTTCTGTATGTGGCACACATTAAAAACCTGGAAAGCAATTGTCATACTCATGGCTCCCACTACAGCAACCCTGGCCCAGAGCAGCCGCTGGCACTAACAACACCCAGAGGCAGAGCTGAGGGTGAGGACACGTGGAGGCCTCGATCTGCAAAATCGAGGCTCCGAGGTCAGCTGGGGCAGCTGGCCCCATGGCTGGGAGCAGCAGCTATTTCAGTCAAACAGTGCCTCATGTGAGAGGGTGGGATCAGCAGCCAGTAACGCCCTAAGAAGGAAGAAAGGGCAGAAGCAGGAGCAGGCCCAGGACAGTCTCCCGTGACAGATGAGAGCGGTCCCTGGCAAGAGGAGAGTTCCTCCTGCTCCACCCACCAGAGGGGATGACTGCACCTTGTATATTCATCTCCCGCTGGTTTACAGACAGCACCAGCAGGGCCTGGCCTGGAAATAGGACACCTATGCTCTGTGCCCCTGCCCCCTCTGACATGCTCTCCCAGGCAGACCCAGCTCCCCTATGGGGTTTGGGAGCTGCTGGCCCGAGAGCTGGTCTCAGTTTCACTCTCCAGTGAAACTTTGCCCTCGGGTGTTCATGGCCTCAATAGCAGAGAGCTGGATCAAACTGCTGAAAATGGTCCCACTCGAGGTGCCTCAGTGGAGGCAGTGAGAGCAGAGAGCTGGGAAAGCTTCCTCCCTTCCTGCACACCCTGACCCTAGTAGTGCTCGCCTGGCTGCAGGGCTTTGCTGCAGGAGAGCAGCCCCTGCCACAGGCACCCTGCCCACCCCCAGGTGCCAGCAGCAGCAGCAGCTGGTGCACCGATTCACACCTCATCCCTCACCCAGCTCCCATCTGAGGATGCAGAGCTGAGCCCCACAGTGTCTTGGCCTAGCACAGCTCCACTGAGCACAGACCCCACAGCTTCTACAGGTCTGCTCAGGCTCAGCCAGGGCAGCAAGCAGCTGCAAGGGAAGTGCTCAGCCAGAAGGAACAGGCTGGCAGCTCTGCACTGCCTGCTCCAGGTCCCAAGATGTTCATCTTTCTAGAAATGCTTGGGGCAATAAGTAGCCACAAAGGTGAAGTCACAGCCACAAACTGCAAGGGCCCGCAGAGAGAAAAGCAGTCCTGCCTGTCCTCAGCTCTGGCAAAGCCAGCCCCCCCGCAGGCGAGCCCTTCCTCCTCAGGTCACCCCGCCCTCGAGCCGAGCCAGAAGCTCCAGCGCCCAGTCCAGCCCAGCAGCCAGGCACAGGCAACTCCCACACCCGTGGTGGAGGGGCCCGAAACGATGTGGAAACAGGAACACTGAGCAGGGCCCAGCACCAGCCCCGGAGAGCTTGGAGGAATGTGGGAGGACAGCAGTGACACCTCTGAGCTGCTGCACATGCTGGGTCTCCCAGGACACAGCAGCAGCACCTCCAGCTGCAGAGCGAATGGGAAGGGCCTCTGGCAGTGGCAAACAAGGCCACGGTTCCCAAGGCCAAGGCTGTGCTGCTGCCAGCCACACACCACTGCTCAGCTCCAGGCCCCACCAACACCAAAACAGCATGGCTACAGGCACCCCTCGGCACTGTGAAAGTTTAACCTGGGTTTGCCAATGCAGGAAAGTGGGTTTTCCTGAATTTCTTTTACCTATAAGGTGAGAAACCCGCAAGGAGTGGGAAACAAGAAGCAGCAACTGCTCTGTGTAGGGCAAGGTGGTGTTAACCACCTCCAGAGTGGTGGCACAGGGTAACTGTGGGGCAGGGTTGGCAGCAAGCTCCAAGAGGGGTCCTGGAGGCTGAAAAAGGATTGTTATCCTTCCAAGCAGGGGTGAGGGAGAGAGGCAGGGCCACGTGTCTGCTTGTCACTCCCCTGGGAGAAGGCTGCTGCTGCACGCCTCACCGAGGGCTCAGCTCCCTCAGGCACCCTGCAGACAGTTATTTCTAACGGCAGGCAGGCAGCAGGGCTGGGGCACTGCCTGACTCCAGCTGCCAGGCTGATGCCCCCCCAGGCCGCCGCAGGCACCGCGGGGTTTGGGAGAAGTGCAAACAAAGCACAGGTGATTCCCATTCATCTCTTCTAACCCCTCCAGACTTTCTGCTTCTCTGCCATCAGGAAATGTGCAGCCAGCCCCCAGGGGTGCTGGGGCACAGGGCTTTTTGACCCCATGAAGGTAGGAGCTGCTGAGGTGGGAGACGGTGAAAGGCAGGCTTGGCTGGATGCCAGGTGTGCGCCTTCAAGAAGCACCCGAGGGGCTTGTACAAAAGCCTTTACTCAATTCTCCTCCAATTTGAGAGAAAGCCTGGCCATGGTGCTGAGAGAGGAGGTGCCTCCTTGTCCTCTGCTCTCCCAGCCTTTGTGCTGGTGTGAGCACCCACGTGGCTGCAACACAGACCAGACCAAAACACCCGCCAGAGCGAAGTTGCTTCTGCCAAGCTGGTCTTACCCAAGAGCAGCTCCCCAGCCCAGCTCATGCTGGGGCTGCACAAACACTTTCACTAGCCAGAGGAAAAGGAGAATGTAGGAATAGGAAGGAGAAGCCAGGGAGAAGGGCCACCCCTTCCCACTGCAAGGGCCAGACAGGGCTAGTGTAAATGCTGAGGGAGTAACAGCAGAAGATGCACAACAAGACACAATTAGCTCTCCATGTTTGGGGCACATTCAGCACTTGGCAGGAAGAGGGTCCTGCCTGCAGCAACCCCCACCCAGCACCCCTAGGCCTTTCCTGGGACAGCTGTGGAGGCTGACCAAAAGCTTCCTCCTCCCACAGCCTTTTGGCTGCTCCAGATCCCAAATACAGACACTTCTCAGGCACACAAGTACTTCTGTCACCTTCTGCTCCTCGTCCCCTCGAAGGATCAGAATCCTCCACACTCAAGCTCATCCCTTACTTCAGTTTCTCAGCATGCCTGACACACAGCCTGCTCCAGGACCAGCACAGAGCTGCTCAGGGCAGGTGCCCAGCACTGCCACATGTCACATTTCCAACCCTTGTGGAAATCACTGTGTCCCCAAAGCACCATGACAGCAGCTGTGCTGCACTGGGAGCCCAGCGGGCCCAGCTCCCCGCAGTCTCCGGGGAAGATGACTTGAGCAGGCAGCGGGCTGCAGGCCTCTCCCGCGCTGCTGCCCGGCCCCGGGCGTTCGGCAAGGGGAGAGGGATGAGGAACGGCGCTTCTGCCCAGCCAAGGGCTCCGACGGGGCGACCCCGCGATGGCGCCGGGCAGGCAGAGCACCGACCGCAGGCAGCGGCCC